GTTACCGACCTTTGGCTTTTTTACTGACTACACTTCTGTGTAACCCCTGCTTGCTATTTCTGCTACTGGACCCTAGCTTACTCCCCTCCTGGTGGGGCAATCCTGAGGACCATAACCTGGTACTACCATGCACAAAACCCATCCCCACCACAAGGAGCTCTGGTGAATACCTAGGTGAACCTAATACTTACACCCTGTGTCCAAAGAACAAAAGGTATACCGATCAGGCAAACAATCCCGATCAATCCACAACAGGCGCAGGCTCTGACTCGCCACCACACACGATGCAATAGGAAGAAGGGTCAGCCGCACACCGGAGGATAGATGAATATAGTGTGTATTTATTGATCCATAAGACACACCAAACACCAGGACATGAATACAGGACCTGTTAACGCATTTCACACGATCTCGTGCTTAATCATTATCAATGGATCAATAAATACACGCTATATTCATTTACACTCTGTGCCTCGGGTGAGCCTGCATCATCTAACATGGTACCTGCCCATGTACTCTTCCTGTTGGCCTCTCTGCTGCTATAGCTACTGGTGTTCAAACCTGACCCCTGATTGTGACACTGTAGCAGTATCAGAAGACCATGTAATGGCTTATATCTTGACTACAGCAGTTAGTGAATTTGAATAATTCTCCTGGGACCCTCTGCAGTCCTTTACACCATGAACAATTTTAAAGTAGCACTGGGAGAGGCAAATGCTAATGCATCAATGTTTCAAGACACCACCTGGGAGGTAAGTGGTTAACTCCTTGTTGATATTTTATTTTTTTAAAGTACATTCATTTCACTTGAGGATATGGGGGTTAAATCCCTTTCTAACCAGCAATTATCTCTTGCAAGCATTTACATAGCTACAAGTAAGCACCACGTGCAGTAATAGAAACTGACCACATTTTATCTCTGCATGTTTGCTATGCCTTCAGTGGTAACAGTTATTGCTTTCCGAGTTACTCAAAAGTGGACTATAACAAGCTGTAAATTTGTTGACATCATTCTGCTTTTACAGAAACTGCAAAGCCTATTGTTTGCTGTATTTGCTAAAGTTGAATACATCTTGGCTGAAACAAGCTTTTCTGTCCATGTGCAAATCAGGTTTCTGAATCTATTCCTGAACTTTCTAATTTGAGAGTAATGGTAGGTCTTGGTAAGTAATTAGTGAACAAAAGAGAAAGGTTGCAACCTAGCAACCACATCTCCTTTTTCTGTTGTGGATTTGCATGGATTTGTAGTAGCTGCAAAGTTATTGTGCTATTTTTATACAATACAATCAAATGTTTATATTTGTATTTGTTTTATATTTAAAAATGAAATGCATGAACAAGTGGTCATTTTGGAGCTTGATATAAATTACACACATTTGGCATAACAAGTTCCATAACTGTATTTTTCAGGCTCGACTAGTTTTGTGGCTAATAAAGGAAAGGTACTGCCAAATCTAATAAGGTCACAGAACCTTTAGAACCATACATGGTTGCAATTAAGGTCCTTCTTCCCAATATCATGCTGGAGACTCTGATTTTGCTTATCCTAAAATAGGGGGAAGGATCCCACTAGTTGCTACTCTTAAGTCTCCATCTCCTTCGTTCAGTCAGACGGAAACATTTTAGCTAAAATATTTAAACTGAAAAGATGTGTGGAGAACTTGGTAGGGTCAGACTAATCAAGCTTCATACTCAACAGATCTATTTTAATGAAGACCCAAGGGTTATTTACCAATTTGCAGTTGCTTCATGAGAATAGGGAGGGCAGTGAGTTGATAACACTAGACACGCATAAGGAGAAAAAAGTTGACCAGTGCCAAGGTCAGTTTCTTTTGAGGAGGTGAGAGCAGAACGATTTCTCAGCTTGTAAAAAGGTAGCCTGGTGATTTTTGACCCTGATACAAACAGGGATAGCATATCAAATCTTAACACAAAGTCTGAGGGCTGTAGTTTAGAGAGGCTTATGTAGAAGAGAAGGTCTATTTAATGCACAGTAAGAGTTAGTTACCTCGAGTGGAGAACTTGGAACTTGTCCCAAAGGAGTCTGCCAATAGCACCTGAGGGGACATTCTCATGGAGATGCCACCATAGGGTGCTAGTGGCAGCATGTTCATAAACATGGGTCAGTCATAGACAGAATGTCATGCTGAAAGGAAAATAATTATAATTATATGAGGATCAGACCCAGAAACCCTGATCAGTACAAAATCAGGAGAAGGAGCCAGAGAAAGGTGAAGTGCCAACCACAGTGGGAAGTGAAAGAAGCAGTGTTTGGGCCTATGATCAGAGATTTGACTTAGGTGCCTTTTTGAAAAAAAAAAAAAAGTCTCTAAAGCACCCAGGGAAATAAAGGTTTAGAGCTTGATTAACCATTTGCTGACCACAGATAGATGAATGACGGCTACACTGCAGCCGGCCAGTCCTGGGAGGACGTCATATGACGTCCTCCCAGAACAAGCCCTTCTGCGCGCCTCCGGCGATCTGCATGATTAGCTGATCATGTGATGTGGTAAAAGGCCAATCATAGCGGCCTTTTACCAAGTGATCAGCCGTGTCCAATGACACAGCAGATCACTGGTAAACGCAGTTGCCGGTTATCGGCTGCACTTTCCTCATGCTGTCACAGCGTGAGGAAAGTAGTACCGATAACAGGCAATTGTCAGAGGAGGGTTCGGCACCAATCATCAGGGCACTGATGATCAGTGCCACTCATCAGTGCCACCCATCTGTGCTCAGCAGCGCCGCCCACAAGTGCCCAGCAGTGCCACCCACCTGTGCCACCCATCAGTGCTGCCCAGCAATGCCACCCTTCAGTGTCCAGCAGTGATGCCAGTCAGGGCCCAGCAGTGCTGCCAGTCAGTGCTACCCATCACTGTCACCTATCAGTGCCCATCATTGTCGCATATCAGTGCCCATAACTGTTGCATATCAGTGCCGCCTATCAGTACCACCTCATCAATGTCGCCTATCAGTGCCCGTCAGTGCTGCCTATTAGTGCCCGTCAGTACTGGCTATCAGTGCCCGTCAGTGCTGCCTATCAGTGCAGCCTCATCAACGCACATCAGTGAAGGAGAACAATTAGTAGTTTGCTAAATTTTATAATAAATACAAAGAAAAACTTTTTAATTTTTGCTCTTTTTTTGTTTATAGCGCAAACAAGAAAACACCGGGCGTCGAGTACATACCACCAAAAGAAAGCTCTATTTGTGTGAAAAAAAGTATAAAAATTTCCTATGGGTACACTGTTACATGACCGCGCAATTGTCATTCAAAGTGCGACAGTGCTGAAAGCTGAAAATTGGCCTGGGCAGGAAGGGGGTATGGCAAGTGGTTAAGGGCCTAATGATATAGCACCACAAGGTGTGGTGAATTCATCAATGTTAAAACCACATTAAAATGTGGATAGATGGGGAGTAAAACCATTGTTAACCACTTGCCTACCAGGCACTTATACCCCCTTCCTTACCAGGCCAATTTTCAGCTTTCAGCGCTGCCGCACTTTGATTGACAATTGCGCGGTCATGCAACATTGTACCCATATGAAATTTTGATCATTTTTTTCTCACAAATAGAGCTTTCTTTTGGTGGTATTTAATCGCCACTGGGCGCTTTACTTTTTGCGCTATAAATTAAAAAAAGTGCAAAAAATTTGAAAAAAAAAAAAAAAGTTTATTTGTTTCTTTTATAAAAATTTTTCAAACAGGTATTTTTTCTCCTTCACTGATTTGCGTTGATGAGGCGGCACTGATGGGCACTGATAGGCGGCACTGATAGGCAGCACTAAAGGGCACTGATAGGCAGTACTAATGAGGTGGCACGGATAGGCGGCACTGATAGACAGCACTAATTAGGGGTCACGGATAGGCGGCACTGATATGCAGCACTGATAGGCGGCACTGATAGGTGACACTGATGATGGGTACTGATAGACGGCACTGACTGGCATCACTTCTGGGCACTGACTGGCGGCACTGACTGGCACAACCCCTGGGCACTGACTGGTGGCACTGACTGGCAGCACTGGTGGGTGGCACTGGTGGGTGGCACTGGTGGACAGCACTGGTGGGTGGGCACAGGTGGGTGGCACTGGTGGGCACAGGTGGGTGGCGCTGGTGGGCACAGGTGGGTGGGCACAGGTGGGTGGCACTGCTGGGCACATGTAGGTGGCACTGCTGGGCACAGGTAGGTGGCACTGCAGAGTGGCACAGGTGGGGGCACTGCTGGGCACAGGTGGGGGCACTGCTGGGCACAGGTGGGGGCACCGCTGGGAATGGGTGGGCGGGGCTAGTGGGCGCACAGCTGATCGGAACTTGCGGGGGTCACTGCTGGGCACCGATCATCAGGGCACTGATCATCAGTGCCCTGATGATCGGTGCCGATCCCCGCTCTGACAACTGCCGGTTCTCGGCAGTACTTTCCTCACGATCTGACAGCGTGAGGAAAGTGCAGCCGAGAACCGGCACTTGCATTTTCCTGTGATCAGCGTGTCATTGGACACCACTGATCACGTGGCAAAGGCCGGTGGGATCGGCCTTTCACCACATCTCGTGATCAGCTGTGTCCGTAGGACACAGCGATCACGGAAATCCCCGGGTGCGCGCCCCCTGGGGCGCGCAGGAGAGCGCGTTCTGGGAGGACGTCATATGACGTCCACTCAGAACTGGCCGCCGCGGTGAAGCCGTCATTCGGCTATGCGCGGTCGGCAAGTGGTTAAAGGCAGAAAATTATTTGTAAGAGAAATACAGTAGTAGGTCTGTATAAGGCAAGGCAGAAGCCACACTGCTGCAGTAGACTTAGTGGCAAGTCTAAAGGAGACCAGCCAGAAGGTTGGTTACTGGGGTAGTTAGAATATGTGCTTTTAGGAGTATGATGGAACATGTGTTGTTGAGTGGATAAAGGTTAACAATCAGATTTTAGAAAACTCAATGGTTTTCCCCTAAGAGCAAAGGTGATGACTATCCTTTGTGATTTTACAGTGTTACTAAACCCAGGACCCTGTGTTCACTATATCTGGTCTCCCACAGTACACAGCATACAGAAATACAATTATTTTAGTAAATATAAACTGCTAAATGCCTTTTCTCATCAATGTTAGTGCAGTCTTGTGACATCTATCAGTGTCCAGCATAGCACTGGTTACAGCTTTTAAGAGGAGTTTTCATTCTCCTGTAGGAGGATGCAGGACTCCTGACCTCTGTCTGGACAGTGCTGATTGGCCCTATGCGGATCACATGCACCCTCCCAAGAAAAAAAAAAAAAAAAAAAACCTCTCTAGCAATACACACCAAACTGTGCATGTGCAGCTTACCCCCGAGCCTCTGTTCTATCAGAAGATATTTAGGAGACACTGGAAGAAGGGGAGGATCAGAAAAGACAGAATAAAATATCCTTTTTATACAATGGGGAGAATTAACCCCTTAGGTTCCACAGTGAGTACAACAAGCATATACAGATTGATTTTACTGTTGTGGGTTTAGTAACACTTTTAAGTTGCACTGAGGTGTAGGAAAAGCAGGCTGCTTTGTGAAGCAGCAAACGGAAATGTGTAGCAGAGAAATAATGGAGAGGGAACAGAAAATTAGATTCTTTGTGTATCTCTTCAAAGGACTGGGAAAGCTAAAGATAAAGCCTGGGACATCTTTGTCTAATGTGGAGCAATTGGTAATAGATGTGCCTCTCATACCTTTTGTCAAAGGGTAGGGGTAACTTTTAATGCGATTTTGGATTATGAGCAGGTGCAGTGGGGCTTAGTGGTCTGCCATGAGTTGAAGGACCTGCATTAGATGATGACCCCCTGAGGGGGTGAACAGATCATATCCACATGCTAAGGGAGACTGGGGATGCAATAAGAATGCATGATTGTGAATAGTGGGATGGGAACCCCCTTCCCTTTGTAGCCACATTAATGTATTCCTCAAACAGACTTCCAAAAAGAAACTCAACTTCCAGGGGTATGCACAAAATGCACCTTTCACAAGGGCTTTTTGCCCTTAAACTATAAGATTGGGTGCACATTTACAGAAATCACTTTCTCCATGCTGTCTACACAGAAGAGCAGTGTTGAGGGCAAGAGTTGTAGTTTTGCAGCAAAATTAGGATGAAATATATTGGAGAAAGTTCATTATTGATTTCTCCAGTCCAGTTTGCCATGGTCTGGGCAATTAACAAGACGGCAATTGCTGTTTTCAGGGCTGGGCCTGCCAAGGCAGAGGAGGATTTCAAAAGAGTCTCCAGATATCTATCAAGTGGATCCTTAAAAGAGGAAATACCATAAATGAAAACATGACTATTTAGTGCAAGAATGACTGGATCCACAATGGGAACAATCCATCTCTTCTTAAACTCTTGGCGCTGGCGCCTCCCGGCCCTTTAAGAGTTTCGGAAACTGGGAGGTGGGGTTTTAGGGTCATGTGACCGCCGTGATTCCCTGTCACAGCGGTCACATGATCGGAAAAGGTCCCGATCGAAAGGGGAGATCAGGACCTTTCCGGGAGTAGCGGACATATGTGCTGGAAGCGCGTTCTCAGTACATATGTACTTTTTAATTGCACGCAAATATGTGGCAGCTCGGCGTCAAGGCCCAGACGGTGAGAGGCTGCATATTTGCGTGTGATCGGCATCAAGGAGTTAAACTGCCATTTCATGGTGTACAAGGCATCAAAATTATCAGGAGGAGGGAATTCCGTCTTGGAGTTGGGCCAATCATTACATAATTCCCAATCAGCTTGATCAAGAATAGGGAAAGGCATTCTTTGAATTGCCTTCTTTTTCAGTCTTGGAAAAATATATGGGAAATGAGCAGCACTAGGTGTATCTATCCAGAGATTAAAACACACTGTTTTAACCAATAAATCCATAGTACCAAGAATATGGGAAGAAGCTGGCAAAGTAACCTAATGAAATTCTTGGAGTGAAAAATCATCTTTGGCCTATTTAACAGTCAGCTTCCTCCTCACATTCTGCAACTGAAAATGAATTAAGTGTCATAGGCTGTAATGTCTAAAGATATTTTGAGGTAGAGAGGCAGAGAAGCATTTACAGGTGTTAGCACCTGCCATTTCCAGAAGTGCTGATAACCTTTAGAATATTTCAGACATAGCGGCAGAGCATTTTGCTTTACCAAGATAGGCCACATGTTGCACGTCTGTGGATAAGCCATATTTAGGGGGCTAGAGTGATGTCTATCAATCTGAAATGTACTTGGAGTTTCTCCAGGGAATGCAGCAAAATCTCTGTTTGTCCCCTGTGCTTCCAGGTGCCTGCAATCCATCTTTGCTGAGTGGGGAGCTTCCCCTGCCATGTATTCATGAAATAGATGTGAACTGAGGGGGTTTAGCATGTCTGGTATGAAGGAGTACAGGCCCTAATCAAGTTCATGTGCCATGTCTGTGAAGTATCAGGCAACAGGTGAGGTGGCAAACAATTAGTTTGTGTCATCGGCAGAAATGGCAGACTGGAAGTGCACAGTCAGAATTCTTATGAGCACTTTGTCACTAACCAGAGAGAAACTCCCAGTAGTGATGTGTAACAAAACACTACTAATTCTAAATAGGTAAAGGTTACCTATAAAGCCAAGACATTTATAGCCAGGAATTGGTATGTAAATGTACAGGGAAACGGTGTCTTATCTTGTCCATGTTGCTGTTCCAGTCCAGAGTCCAGGCTTAACCTGCTATGGTGGGCATACCTTTAGAATCTGGGTGCTGTAGAGATGGACAATGGACCTGTTTAGCACTCTGAGGCTAAATCACTCGTTGCACCACGTGCCAAAGTGAGCACCAAACACTGGATTTGGTGCCCAAAGCAATTGTTACATGCCATGTTCCATTTACAATGCCCAAGATGTACATCAAGGGTAACTGATCTGGAAACTGCTAGTGAGCCATAAGGCAATATGCATTTGGATCGTTGATAGTAGTGTCAGTGGAAAAAAACTGCCAGAAAATAGAAAGATTTAATCTCCAACAGAAGGGGGGGGGGGGGGGGGGGGAAGGAAAAAGGGTTCATCATCTAAGAACACTAGCAAAAGGAGTGGGCAGGGTTATATGGGTATAAAGGCTGTATGCAGTGCCCAACAAAGCCTTTGCCAATGTCCAATCACTGAGAGCTGCTGTATCCTATACTGTACAATTATGATAATTACTTTGTAGCCCTTCATCACACAAACATTCAACTGCTAATACCATCCATGTATACTTGGACACAACCTGCTATTTTCTGATAAATCTTTTATTCAACTAAAGAGAAACAAAGTCAAAGGCTATAATTTTTAACAACACGTAATACAGATCTGCACTCTAAGACTCAGAGTATTACATAAGAGTCATTGTATAATGTTAGGAATTCCCAGCTCCCAGTGATATTACTGACAGTGTCACAGGGGAATAATTACCATGTCTTGTGTTTGGAAAAGGAAAAAAAAAATCACAAAAGGACTCACTCTGTGGAATCCAGTTCATTCTTTTAATTAAACATATGAATGCAAGTAATTTTAGCTAAGCCACCTAAAAGGTTGTTAGGGTTAAACTTTCAGATTATAGCCACTAACCAGAAATCCTTGGTAACAATCTTGAATGATAACGGAGAATATTTTTAATTATACATTTATACTAAATCACAAGGTGTCTAGGAAAAGAAAAAAATGGCATGTTTGCTGTTTTTTGCACAATCTAGAGGAAAATAGTTTTGTTAAAATAATTTTATCTTCAAATAAACCTTATAGAGTTGTTGCAGTTCAATACTGAAAAATAGTAAAACTGCAATAGAAACATGGAGAAGTGATGACCACTCATTGCTACTGGAGGACTTGGAACTAATCAGCTTTGTTCAGCAGAGAAGGATATGCCCTTCTAAGCTTCTGCACTAGATACAAATTTATGTTTATGACTCAGCATAGATCTCCATGCCAAATTTAAATTAAACCAAAAAAGCTAGACCTGTACTGGGTAGGTTTGAATTTTTTGGGAAGGCAAATGATGAGCTTTGCTGGACAGAGAAAGCAGAAACCCTTGTTTATATCTACAAATCACTACATTCAAATATAGTGAAACAGATGGAGAAGGGGTTATCAGATAACAGAACAATGGGTAATATCATATAACATATCCCTCTTTCTCTGAGAAATACCAGGAGAAAAGTGAAACAATGCCAGCAAATTGAGCTACAATTTTCTATTCCTTAAAGGGTAACTCCTTCTTAAGGAAATAAAACAATTATTATAGTATATACAATTGCTATACAAGCCATATTGTAATCAGACGTTATTAAAAATGATCTTTCCCTTTCAATCTGCCGTGTTGTAATTTTCTGTAAGATTGAATGCAATATGACAACCTGGAGTCAGTGTACGGAACAACTCCAGAAATATTTCCTGCTCCTATTTTCCACCAATTTTCCCATAAGTCTGAACTAACGCACAAGTCATTGTGTCATTGGTGAGATACTCCATAATGATTAATTATTTCTGCATCAGCTGATTATAATGAACCAGTAGCTCCCATTGAGAATCAGTATGCAAAGGATATGAGCAAACAAACATCTATTACATCAGAACAGAAACAGCTAGGACAACTTAAATACATATATATGATAAGAACATCATGACTTGCCTATAGTCATATTCAGGAAAAAAAACAGTATGCTGAGTCATTCATATTTTGTCAATAACTTCACAGATAACCTAAATCTGTTAATTGTCGAAGGCTGTTCATACATTTTGGAACTATGGAAAACTGTGATGCCCTTAAGATAACAATGTAACTTATAGAAGCCTTTGTAGTGGCTGGATTGTTTGGGTCCTCCTGCCTTGCACCAATGATGACCCATCATATACCTGGACCTGAGGGGCTGCCTACGCACCTGGGACTGTGTCAATAGGCTCCATTACACAAAAGCTCTGAAAAGAAAAAGGTTTGGACGAAAAAATTACATTTCAAAAAGTTTACAGCACAACATCACACTTGCCATAAATATGGCCTACCTACAAGCAAAAGGTCCTAACAACTCCACTGGCCATTGGAACAATATCTATAACCCAGCTCAGCCAGTGTTGGGGCCCTTAGTTTCTACAGTGTGATCTCTCTCCAAATGGGAGACTTGTAATGCACAGAGTAAGAGATGAACTTTACAATCTCCTCTTTTCAGAACTCACTTTCCTAAAGCACAACGTTAACTACAATGGCTAGATAACACAACAATGTGCCTTATAGGCTTCTCGCTACCTTGGCCTACATCAGGTACAATCAGGGATCTCCTGGTCCACCAGTCAGTCACAAGTCCTTCATGGCTCAGGGTTGCCAAGGGTGGGCATAGTCCAAGCTGTACAGGCAGCTAGTGCAGTACTCTTCACTTCTCTCCTCCTCTTGCCTTTGTCCATGAAGAAGTGTGGACAGTTGAGGAGTGATAAAAGAAATTAGAAACTTATCTCTTCAGTCTCTGACCCAGTATTTTTTTTCATGCATTCATTCTTTGCAACTTT